TTTGTTGTTCATCCCCGCGAAATGTCCTTTGTCGCTTGTAGGAGCAGCTTTTAGTGAAATACGTGATGCTTACTGCGTATTATCTCATTAATTTGAGACGTCGAAATGTAAAGAATGTAATTTTGTACGATTTTCATTATGGGAAGTTTCAAATTTTAAATGTAATACTAGGCATACTTGAAAAGGCACTACTGTACGAATCAATTAATTATTACTTAAATTCATTGTTATTATATTTTGTATCAAAGTGAACAACGTTACAAGATACATTTTCGCTGTTCGCATTTCGCCCGCGCTCTTAAATTTTCACTCGGTTCGCATTTTTGGGCTTTCCATTTCGATGACAGGCCAGCCGTGCAAATTAAAAGCGCGCAGCGTGGGCTCGCCGCGGGCAAACAATTTACCGCGGTCGCGACGAAATATTTGCTTCCTCATAAACAAACCTGGTGATCCAATTTGTGCGGGATGCATTTAGCTGGTTTCGACGCGCTGCGTAAGTTGTCGATACGTTATTGCCCCGTGAATGTTAATGAATCATTAAAAAAAAAAAGACTGAAAGGATCCGCCGTTGCAATTTCCTCGCGAATTTCATTATTATCATACGTTTTCATTTGTTACGTTCGAAGACAGAAAAAATATACTTTACTTACAAAATTAATATTCAACTTTCCCAGGATTAAATTTAATTCAATTTAAAGGAACACTGCGTAAACAGCTATAAATATTTAATGAAATATTTTGTGTTTATAAGCTGAATATTTCTATCATAGAGACCTTCAGTTCTTATCGCGATGAGACTCTTTATTAAACGCCATAGGTGAAATTATCGTTATTTAAATTTAATAAAGGCGTCTTTATCGATACACGGGGGAATCACTTTAAGCGCATAGCTTAATGTCAGAGAAAATTTTCCATTGATTTCATCTCGTTTGATCTTGATTAAAGCTTTTACCTTTGCGCTTGTATGTTACACGATATGTACATACTGTACGTACAACATAAAAACAGCAGCAGCGTCGCGCACCTTCTCACGGGCGTGGGAGTCAGTAAGCCGCAAGACAAGCGAGTTCGTGGATCCGAAAGAGCATGTTGACACATCGGCTGAGCGCCGATCATGCCGCAGCCGTTACAATGCGATGCTATGTATCGGGTATCCGCGAATCATGCAGTACGTACACCTCACGTGTAACGCATCACGCGCCACGCATACGCCGCATAGATTACCACGTTAAGACCAGGCCGATAGGACTCTAAGCGAGACTGGGCAGCTGAGCCGGGCGTGCGTCACGTGGCGACACATTCTCGTCATATCTTATAATAGAACAATCTCAGCGATGTAAATTGTCAACATTTACTTGTAATTCGGTGCTGTACGTTGCTTTTTTTTTTCGAAGCATAGAGTTAACGGTTTGATTTTATTAGAACGCTTATTATCCCCTCTTCCCCAAAAAATAACACGAGACGTATCACTTTCTGGTACAAAAGCGAGATGGGTGATTGCGTCAAACAAGTAAAAACTTTTGCTGGATATTTTTACAGCAAGGAGAAAATGAAAGAAGGGCGCGGAGTGACTGAAAATACAATCCGAACAAATATAATTTTTCCTCGTGACAGGCATATTTATACGTTCCATTTTGCAAATATCCGAAAATATCTTCGATTTATAGCGTCCTTTGTATGTATTTATGCTCACTCGAAGACAATTTGTCCGAGAAATTGTTTTCAGAAAGTCGCCCCTATGGCATATAAAGAATTAACCGCGAATACTGAAATAACCCACGAATATCGAACGATGTTTAATTTATGTGTGACCCTACTCGGCTCGGCTGCCTACTTGAATCGTTAATATCCACCAGCGCTAATTCGACTCAACAGAGTTGCTACAGAGTTTCTCGTCTTTGTTCTCTCTCTCTCTCTCCGCGCGGCACGGCGCGGCGATGGTTTAGCGATTGTGACGAGAACGCGTACCCGGCGTAACGGTAGAGACAGTCGGAAAGACAGGCAGTTCCCTACCAGATCTTACCACCTTGCATAATGCATCGCGCGACGCCACTAAGTCAAAGGGGAAACTTCTCCTGACGTGAAACGCCAGGAACACACACGCCCCTCTTCCACTATTCTCTTCCCTCCTTATATTGTTCAGCAGCCCGTTGCAAAATCCCTCTATTGGGTTTCGACCCGGGGCTTCATTCTCCCTTGTTTCTATCTTTCGCAACGCATCAATCTCATTGTCCGTTAATTGCCGAAACATTTATCGATCTGTCGTCGCCTGTCACGGATTTTATAGACGTATAGACGTGAAATTATGACCGATGCGACATGGCAATCTGCAGTGAGTGGACTGTCTGGTTGCAGAAACGAAACGCGTTTGAGCTATTGTACCGTGACAAGAATAAAAATGGTTAATGGTCGAACGTTGGTTTATACGTAAAAATTTCCTCTATATATCATCAACTGGGGAGGGAGGGGGGGAGGAAGGACGTATGTAAAAGCCCGTACGAATTTCTCATGCAAAGGTAATTGACGTTTTAATCAAATTGTTACGCATTAGCGCGATCGAACGTGCGTGACTTTCCTGCAGCCGTTTCGCTTCAAATTTGCCTGCGTCGAGTTTCCGCAGAGGCGCACGGGTGCGGTACGTTAATTCCAAAATCCCGTGAAGCACTTCGACCATCGTCATCTTGTATGTATCACGTCGTAGTTGCGTAGACGCTACGTGCGGACGGTGGTGTATAGTAATCTACTTCACGCGAAGTTTCCGCCAAGCTCGAGTTAAGTCGGCCGCGCCGAGTAAGCCCCCGGTGTTACCACGGCTGATGAGTCCGGGACACTTTGGGGGGTACGGTTACCGAAAGACGACACGTTCCCGTCGCATCACGATAGAAAGTCACTCCGCCGACTTCGGTACAGCCGGTATCGGCGACCGCTTTCTTGATAGCGGCTTTCTGAATTCCGATCGTATCGCCGATAGGGTTGGGATCCCTTCGTTTGTCGTGTAAAACCGATCTTCGATCTGTTCATTTTGACAAAAAGTTAAATTTGATTTTAAGTTGGGCACACTCTTTGCTTTTTATAAATTCGAATCTTTAAAATTTTCTTATTCTCATTGTCAGATCTATTATGAAATCTTTTGTAATAAGAGATGAGCCTATATTTGACGCGAAGTTAATAAAAATTTGGTTGAAAATTAAATATTGATTTTCTGAAAACTTTAAAATTTTAGAAATATATATTTTGAATTAGAATTATCTATTGTTAGCGACAGTTGCAGAAGTAGGATTAACCTTTATTTAGAAAGTATTGTATTAATTATGTTTTGAGCTTTAGACTGTGTAATCTGCTATATGTAGATTTTGTGTGTGTGTGTGTGTGTGTGTGTGTGTGTGTGTGTGTGTGTGTGTATGTGTGTGTCATTAACACTGAGCTGAATTAGCTAATACCAGTATTCTGATGTTCTACATTTTATATGCGTTACGAAGTGCGATAATCATATAACTTTGTGTCATGCCACTAGTTAACTTGGAAGGCTTAAGAGGAGAACTAAGGAGAGTATGTACTTCGTGAATGCGCTTATTCGGTGCTACATAATGAACTTTTCGTGGTCATACAGTTTAACATTAATGATATCTTACACAGTGGAGCTTTACCTTGCCGCTGTATAATACTCGAAATTTTCGCGGAAAAATTCATATTATTTATAACTAAACTTTACTTCTAGAAGATTTTTAGTCGATAAAAATATAATGCCTTATAATGTGCTGTATCGCATACCCGGCATACCGCTATTGTATACATAGTAATAACAGGATCTACTTTCAAAATCTCACGTATCACAAAAACGTTAAATCGAAAATATGAAGCCGTCCGTATTTGTACCGTCGGTTGCATTATATCGAACAATATACTACTATCATCGATATAAAATATATTTTTAAATCCGATTTAAATATATGTATACTTTTTCTACTAAATTGTTTAACAACTGAAAGGCAAGTGTTCAAAATATTCATGTCTTTTAAACATTCATTAACACTAAACTGAAATTTATCGTGCATAAATTGTTGAACTGAATCTTACTTTTTGTAAAAACTAGCTAAAATCGATTGTTTTTTCATGAAATTCTCTATCTTCTATACTCTTCTTTATACTCAGTATTTTGCGTATTACATATAGTTGTAATTTAAATAATTAAATGTTAAAAAACATAACGAACGTTATATTATGAATATTAGCTAAATATTTGTACAATAAACCTAATTAAATTATATCGCATAATTAATACATTCTAATATATATGTATATTAACCTCTTCAAGGCCATATATACGTATACACGATTAGCTTTTTTAAATTTTAATATTGTTGACAAAAGAAGAACTTCATAATAATATTTATCACAATATTTTTTATTGTTTTATTTCTTTCTTCTTTGTTTGATTGTTATGGATTTAAAAATAAAGTATAATTAAAGAAAAAATTAAATCAAATTTTTCCGACTTTAATAATTCGTTCATGAAGAACTTAAATAGAGAAGAAATTAGGACAGTGATGATATCTTGATAGCATCTGTAAACACTCAAATTGCATTAAATAATTTTAATTTTAATTTAATTATATTATGGGCTTCACATTGAGCCTGATAATTCGAGAAATGCATTCAAGCTAATTATATGTAACTAAAATTTTTATTATTAGAATATTGATAGACGGCGTGGACATATTATATATGCAGTTTATAGTATTTTAAATAAAATAATTTAATATCGCGTAATAAAATAATCATTAATTCGTTAATATCGTCATAAAAGAATCATAAAATTTTTTATTGTTTTTACAAAGATAGTATTGCTAATTTAATTCAATCCTGAATAATGGAAAACATAAATAAAAATTGGAATAATAAGTTAAATTAGGATATAAGCCACTTAATATATTTCAAAAAATAATTTATATTTTCAATTCACATGAAACAAAAATATTGCTTATACATGTGCGTTACAATATATTATTTTTATTACGTTGAAAAATCTCAAGATTTTAACATTTGATGTTGGGAATAAAGAACAGTTTTATTTAAGATGAAACGTATAATTTTGATGACAATCAGCGCTATTACGCATTCCATTATAAATAATGTCAAGGCTAATAACGCAACAATATCCATATCGTAACGTTGATACCATGGTTTATCGCTGTCACTAAATCGAAGATGATCTATCCCTTTGTGACGCATCACAAATTCTATCCACCATATTACATTCTCGGTGTTGTTATATGGTTGATCCTTGGCGAGAGAACTTAGATACACCATCTTTTCTTTGTAACTACAAAATAAAGTAACAAACTCAGTGTCAGTTTAATTATGTTATGGTTAAAGAAAAAAATTTTTTGTTAATTTAATATTAAAACAGAAATACTGCATTTGCAATATCACTTTTATTAGTGTATCTCTGTCACGTCGACTGCCAAAGGAGTTTCGACGAATATGATTGCCAGGCATCATGATACTGCTTTTATACAAATGGAATAACAAAGATATAAAAAACATATCAGAATTACTCGATCAAATTTATCGTATAACATTTATGTCAAGTTTTATAATTTTCGAATATTACAATATAAACGAATTGGTCAGCAAGAGATTACTAACAATTCATCTGTACTGTAAGATTATATTCGAAAATTATATTGAAGTTTACAAACTAGGCTGTCAATCGTATATATGACTGGATGGAAATCTGCGTATCAAGCATTTATGACTGATGTGGCAGTCGAAGTATTGTGCGTATATGATTACCTTTTATCATCGAGGATTTGATAAATAGCACTATCAAGACGTTCTTTGGTTAAATCGTTTAATTGAATACATTCTGCCACACCAAACGAGACCAATCGGTGAACTCGTTTCTCTTGTTCGAATATAGTCGGAATTCCTAAGATTGGCACCGCGTAATGGACAGCTTCTTCGGTACTTTGGGCCCCTCCTTGATAAATAAACAGCTTGATGTTCGGATGAGCTGCACGAATGAGATAATTAACGCCGCGTGTCGCATAAATGGACTATCGATCGCGAAATAATGACTTCACACTTATAATTTTACCGAGTACGCTTTGCTGTAAAAACCAGTTTGAGATAAATGCATTATCGAGCTTTCCCGGCAACTCATCGCACTCAAATTTCCAAACTATTTTATAAGGTAACTTCGAAAATACTTCAACCAAGTTCCTCAGCGTTTCTTTCGGTAAATTGCGGCAGGTGGCCATAGTTCCAAAACTCACGTAAATAAATCCTTCCATTGCGTCGTCCAGGAATTGTTGCAAGTTCTTGTCACCGATTTAAAAATTCATTACGCATATTTATTACGAAATATCGGAAGCCGGTAATAAACAAACAGCTCATCTCGAATATGATAGCCAAGAAAAATAATTATTTTGAAAGCTTACATACTTTTGGTAAAGTCGGTGGCGGGTTTTGTATGTGGATACCGTTAAAAAATATTGCATTTGGTTGCTCGGGTTTAGGGTATGCGAGTACCGGATTCTCGTTGACTAGCAACAAACTCATGTTCTTCATTACGTCGATGATACTTGGTACATCGTTTCCGAGATATTTTTCAACGATTTCCTGCTCTACCGTCGCATAATCATTCATCCAAAAATAAACAAGCCGCCATGTGTCGATAAAGTACCACAATCTTTGCCAAATTGACGGATTTTCGTCAACTAACACATCTAATTCCCAGTTCGAAGGATGCGATGAGAAAATAGGACTTCCAAAAAGATATCGATGATAATTGTGTATGCCCAGGGGTAAAAGTCCTATATAACGGATTAATTGATATTAATCCTTTTTTTTCATTAGATTTTAAGTATCTTTCTTTCTTCAGAAGAAAAGATCAATATTCTTTTACGCTTATAATAAGCAATGCATTCCCCGAAATATTTACCATTTTGTCTTATATACACTGGTTAATCTATAGTGTTAAACTGAACCATATTTAAGTCGCCACTGCTCCTATTTAATAAATAATTATTTTTTACTAAAACAATGGAGTTAAATAATTTAAAACAGTTTAAATTTAACCCAAATTTGGGTTAAATTTCATTACTTTATTTAAAAATAATTATATTGTTTTTGTTAAAAATATAATAACTATTTATTAAGTAGAATCAATGGCAACTTAAATAAGGTTCAATTTGACACTACAGATTTAGTCACAATAGTGCGTGTCATTTGCAGAATACTTTTGTACATATTATGCGGAAATCATCTTACCTATAAGAGGAGCGTTAAATCTATGCGCTATAACAGCTAGTGATGGATAACATAATACTTCCAAAATAACTGCGTCGAACTTTTTATTGCTATCGTGTCTATAGATTTCCTTAAATTCTGAGTTGTTAAATGTTTCTATGCTTCCTCGATGTGACATTTTCCACGCGAATTTCAGTAAATCGCTCGTCTTCATTTCTAGTGAATTATCGATATACTCATTGGTTTGGTGCTTTAAATCTGCCAAATATATTTCTGTATAGTTTTTTGTTATCAAATCTTTTAACGAGATTGAAGTTACTATGGTCAGTTCATGTCCACGTTTACTTAAAGCTAAACACAACGATTGGAAAATTATTTGATGACTATAAAATGATGTAGGCATAAGCATAAGTATTCTATCGGCACTTGTTATGTTGCTGGCTATTAAAAACCACAAAGATGAAACGATAAACACTTTACAAATAATCTTCCACATTTTGTTACTGTCGCGAATACCTTTCTGAAGTAGACTGACATGTAGAAGTAAGTAATAGTCATGTTTCCCCACTTAGGACGCTTATTTCGTAATCATTATGCAATTTATTTACACTACCATTTATGTAAATTAACATTAATATACATTATGTATATTATTTAAAAGTAGTGCATTTAATGTATTTTAATGTATATAATATATGGTTATAATGTATAAGACGATGATAAATATAACACTAAAGATATTTTTGTATTTAATGTTTAATTGTAATTTCACATGGACCTGTAGATGGAAAAGATATGCGCACTACAATTATACTCTTTTTGTCGTTTATGTGTTACCTGAAATTTATAATCAAGACATGCAATGCATCCTATCTTAAAAGTTCCTCTTAAATGTTAATGAAAACTTTTCGTTAAAATTTTATCTTATCTTCTTAAATAAAATTTTGTTCAAAATTACTAGAAAGCAAACTTTTCTACAGTAATTCTTCTGTTAGTAATTTTAAATGTGTATATCTTTTATAATATCTAATTTAATGTGATTTTTTTTTCAATGATTTTTACATAATTAATATAAATCTTTTTTAATATTATTGTTACATAGAATTTTATAAAATTATGGTACATGATAATTGGTATACATATACCTGCACATCGTCATTATACATATGTATATGAGACAAGTATTACGTGACGATAGATTGAGTATCTTGAATGATATAATATAGACTCAATATATATGTTTAATTGTTATTGCATATATTTAAAAAAATATTCTGTTTCATTTTTAATTTTTTTTATTTAAAAAATCATATGGTATAATTTAAAATGATTTTAAATGCTATACGTGAAGACAAAAATCTTCAAGTTAATTATCATTACCATTACCACAAAGAGTATGATATTATTCGTAAATGAAATCGTAAAATCAGAAGTAGTGCCCATATAGAAATAAGGGATGTAATAAACAATATTATGGCGAGAAATCCGATGATGTCCCAGTCATATCGCTGATACCACGGCTCATCGCAAAGACTGTTTCGCAAGAAAGACGTCCCATTTTGTCGTATCACGTACTCAATCCACCGTACTGCATTTTGAAGACTATCGTACGGTGCATCTTTAAAGAGTCTACTTAGATGTTGCACCCGATCTTTATAACTGAAAATAAAGAATAATGGTGTTGCATTTTAAGGCAACGTTATAAATAATGTTTATATTACATCAATGAATATATATATTATGCCTTATCTTAAATAATGTATCTTATATATTATTTATCTATAAGATATATTATAAGAGGAATAGAATTGTTTATTAATCTGTGATTTACGCGGTAATATACAGTACCTTGTGTTGCTTATAACTTCATGTATAGTGGCTTCAACTATTTCTTTCGAAAGATTATCAATCTGAAGATGAACTCCGGCACCTAGTCTTACGAGATTTCGCACTTGATATATTTGATCCCATAGAATGGGAAATCCTATGAGTGGAACCCCGTAATAAACGGCTTCTTCAGTACTCTGAAGGCCGCCTTGGTAAATAAATAACTTGATATTTGGGTGAGCTACGAGCGGAGAAAATTAGCGCAAATTACAGGGATTACTAATAGTATACTAAGATAGAGATTCCGAGATAACTGAACATAAGACATTTGCATTGATGGCATTACCGAGAATGCTTTGCTGAGGGCACCATTGCAACGCCAGTATATTTTTAGAATTCCTGGGTAACAGATCAGGATTGAATTTCCAAACAATTTTGTACGGCGAAGCGGAGAATGCGTCAACGAAAGCCTCAAACGTATTGTTTGGTAGATCCTCCCATTTAACATTGGTTCCAAGACTAACGTAAATAAATCCTTCCTTCGCGTCGTCAAGAAACTGTTTTACATTCTAGCGAACATAACGAGACTAATGGTTACGTAAATGCCCAATGCAAGCGCTATTGAATCTCGTTTGAGGCGATCGGAAAAATAATATATGTATATATATATATATACTTTTGGCAGCGCATCCGGTACTTTTGCAATATGAAAACCATGATAAAATATGACGTTCGGTTGTTCGGGTCTGCCGTGCAAAAACGCTGGATGTCTGTTTACGAGGTATATGCTCATGTTCCTCGTTATGTCGTCGATATGCGGTAGATCTTCTCCTAAGTATTTTTTCACGAGCGCATCCTCTATAGCAGTATGTTCATTCGCCCAGGAATACATCTGCTTCCATACTTCATAAAAGTTAACGAGTCTCCTCCAAAATGACATGTTATTTTCAACCGGTACATTGGTCTGCCAATTGGAAATATGGGATGGAAGAATCAAGGATCCAAACGTATAGCGCATATGATTGTACACGTCCAGGCTTGAAATACCTATATGTATCATGTCATCTTTTATCGTCTCGTGATATGCGATTATAAAGCGAATAATTGTTCAAAATTAAAATTATTCAAAATGGTAATCTAACAGTTTGTAATTTATTTATTATTAGTATTGTTTTTTTTATTTATTGCTTTTTTGTTACCTATGAGAGGAGCGTTAAATCTGTATGCGAAAGCATTCATCGAAATTGTCGGGCCCTGAGCTACGATAACTGCGTCAAAGTGCTCATTGCTGCTAGCCGCGTATAACTTTTTCATCTCCGGATTTTTAAAAACCTCTCGATTCAAGATGTGTGCTATGAACCATATAAATTGCCGTTCTAGTTCTAAAAGTGGAACCTCAAGAACCGCCGTGGTAAGACTGGTGTACGGTAGCGTTTTATATTCAGGAAAACCATTGTAAAAGTATTTTAAGTCAATCTCTGTATAATTAGTTAAAGAAGAATTTTTGATAGGATCGGTAGTCGCCACCACAATCTCATAACCTTGTCTATGCAATTCTAGCCATAAGCCGCGATAAGATATTTGATGACTGTATGACGGAAAATTTGCTATAACCAATATCCTTTTGGCATATGTCACATTATGCTGCACTATCACACACAAAAATGCAATTACGAATGTACACGTTTTACTCCACATTCTGCCAACGATCTTAGCAAATTGCAATGTCAACGATGTAAAACGCGCTATATATTATCTATGCAAAAGGCTATATAAATAGTATTCACGATAAAATACAACTACAATACAAACCGTTTGAAATGCGCATAAAATGTATTTTTAAATAACGTAATTATTTAGTTATACATCAAGCATCGAATGATTAGTCAGATAGTGTGCGTGGCAAATGGTGTACAGTAAATAGCTTCCTTATACCTTTAATCTTTAAACCTAAAGCGATTAGGCATAATTTTAAATTATTTTCAAAATTTTGGCGGTGCAATTAATACCTATCTTTCTACTACGTACTAGCTTTGCGTTTCGAAGTCTTAACAATAACAGAATTTTAAAATTCAATTGCAAGTTTAATTATCGTGTATTAGGTATCGTGTTTCGGAATATCGGCTACATTATATTATTATATATCTCCATGTATTATACATTTATATATATATTTATTTATTATCGTTAATATCTATTTTTGATGAATTTATGCGATCGAATAACGATACCGTAGTGATTAATGCGATCGTTGGCTCTTTACGACGTAAGTACCGTCGTCGTGCTGGATATAAAATCGTTAAAACGGACGTGTGGACATTCTCATAAATCTGTCGGCACCATAAATCGTCTTGTTGAGATATATTTAAAAGCGTGCTGTCCTCGATAACAGACGGCGATAAGTTTTCTCAGATCGCTCGTTTCTCCATCTCTTGTTTCCGTATCGACTAAAGGGGCCGTGTATCTTAATAAATTACGCATTAGCTGCCAGCTCCCCGACACCACCCTGCACCCGTGCGCGCACCCGATCTCATAATTTGAAAAGTTTTTCACGATTTTACACATTATTTATGTAGACGTATCACGAGAGAAAATCGAACTTTCGTTTGCTAGATTGTACCGGGCGTTGTTTGCCCGCCGTACCGGCCAGAAATGAGATACCGGATTTTTACATGTCCGAAATCCAAATATCAGTTTCATATTTGTTCGAAAAAGTTTACCGACGACGGAAAGTCGATATTAATTTTTTAATAGATATGCTATTGCGCGTATTACATATTTTTATGTGATAATAGAACGACAAGATTACATTTTTCACATCATAATTCTTTGGATATTTAAATAATATTTAAATAATATTATTTGAAATTGAACTTCATTAATACAACTTCATAATTTTATTTAAATCACGCCCCGATAGAACATGTGACAAATGTTTTAATAAGTTATCTATTTAATATATATCCTTACATTATTTTGTGAATTAAGGCGCAATTCGATATTATAAGCTAAAATTATAGAGAAAAAAACTTATTATAATGCGTCTTGTTAAGATAATGCATCTTGCAAAAATAGTCGCTCGCTAAAATTTCTATTTTCATCATGTATACATATACAGCGGGTGTATCCCTGATAATGAAATGGTATCCTCCACTACAATGTGCACGATCGCGGGCATTACATGCCAATACAGCCCACCGCGGAAAAATATTATATTTCTCGCAGTGCCACGTTAAGCGTCCTCGCAGATTGACGCATCTTTTATTAATTCACGTTATCCGGAAAGGCAGCGCCGCACGATGTGCATAAACACCTGCGGCGTTTCCCTCTAGTTTCCGTCATGTGAACATTATGAGACTGCCTCCCGGTATAGCGGGGCTGTCGGAAGCTACGACGAGGAAGACCGCGATATGAGTGCGCCGAGAATCCGACGTTTTGCATTATAAAGCCGGTGGAAAAGGCTGGAGAAGAATTCAGGAGGACGTCAATAAAATCCGCTCGCGATACGCCTAGTTTGTTCTCCGTAACGCGTGTATTCCACACGACGGTAGGAGGGTGACAGGCGGTTTCCGATGAGTGAAGACGGACGTTTACGTTTCGGATCGGTTGTAACATTGACGCGCGGGGTTATCCTCGAGAATTACCGCCACGTGCACGAATGTGACGTCGGCGCGACGGTTATTCTTTCTTCCTGAAAGGTGCCGGATGCTCGAATCGCAAGGAAATATGATTCCATCTGGAAAACTCTATCTCACAGATACGAGTTTTTTTTTTTTCGCCTTTCATATCTGTCATTTTTCTGGCATTCGCTTTTCTTGTTTAGCAGTGGCCGCCGGACTACACATTTTGCGTTAAATCAAATATTGATATATCTTTCAGTATAAAAGGTTTTTACGAATCCTTTTTGCAATTTCATAATTTCCGCGGATATTCATGAACGTCGATTTGCAAGGCATTGACATTCAAGATAAAACATGCGATAAAAAGCTTGTATATTTATCGAAAGGAAATTTTTTTAAATATTTATTAGATATTAATTCCAAGTAACCGACTACATTATCTAGTATAAAAAATTTCTGATTGCGTTTACTTTGATTAATTTATTTTTACACACGAGCATCGCTGCATCACGCGTATAGAGATCAAAATTACCAAGTAATATTAAACACCTATCAAACTAGGAACAGGAAAGGCAGATTGCGGTATCATGGTTTGGGGCCGTGTACGAGGTATGTGACCCAACGAAATAGAGTTACGAGTGCTTTTCAGGATATTATGTTTGAGTTCGTTCGCAATATACGCGTGCGTCACTAACTTTACATGGCGATGTAAAAGTAATGATGGTGATTGTGAGTATTAAAAGCGCAATTACGAATCTTTACTCAATGCTTTGATAACGCCAGATTAATCGTATTGATCCTCAATGCCGAAGAATTAGGTAGATCTGCGTAATACGTTTTTTTTATTTGTTACATAAAAAATAAAATAATTTTTTACAAAAATAGAATTTTTTCTTTCAGTTATTTCGGAGATATTTTTCCTCGTCTACATTATGTTCTATTAAATAATAAATTCTATTAAATTCTAATATAATGCTTTCAATTTGAATTTACGCATGAAAAAGATATCGTTCGAGAGAATGCTGAGAGAGTCGTTCCGATTGATTAATATTTGTTACATCAATTTTAATACAAAGCAAGGTGAAACAGGTGGGAGTGAGGGGGGGAGGGGGTAAAGAAATCTGGGCGGGAAGATAAGAATTCATCTAATTGAAGTATTTTAATTATTCCGTAGTTAAAAGGAAGTTCAAGGCACGAATGAATTTTAGTGAGTATCACAAGAACTTTAACTCGGACGACTCGTCGACTATTAAAAGGTAGTTAAATAAAATACCAGCTACCTAAGGAAATTACAAACGGAACGAAGTATAATTACTGAGAAGAGCGTTATATAAAATTCAGCGTTTAATTACGATTTCCGTTATACTTGTGCACATGGAACGGCGTTTTGTTTGGCGCGGAATAAAGAAAGTTTCGCCGGGGAAGCATTATTTCAACGCAATAGAAAAACCTTGCTTGAGAATAATACCGACCGCGGTGACCGCGCTCGCCGCTTCTACAAATACGCGTTTATATAATACAAACACGCGCGCGCAATTTTTTTTTTACTTTTACACGGCCGTGAGCGCAAATATGTGTTAATGCATGTGCATATAAAATATCAACATTGTTTAAACATCACGTCAATGTCAAACGTTTCGGCCGCCACGTGCGTTAGATATTGGCTTCGTAAACGTTATCTGTGCGCGCCACGTCGATGCAACCGAAATGCACAACAGTGGCATCGGGGATGCGTAAATAAATAAGCACGACCGTATTCGGCGTATATCCGCGTTCGGCCGGTCCGACCAAGTCGCTCGCGATGGGCGTCCAAGTGTACATCACGGTCCTTCTTGCGAACGGAGATACACGCGAATTAGTTTATGCCAAATAAACTTAATTCCAAGCGATGCTGCCCGCGCCGCAATCGGCGGTTAATGCGGTTACGATTTGAGTTTAAGCGCTTGTATATAACATTACGGGAAAAGCCGGCCCGCTTTATAAGGTCTCTTCAAGACGCGACGCGGCAAGAGAGGGATATCCTGCCGCAATTTATCTCTGCCGTGTATATCCACCACGGCCAGTGATTCGAGCACCGGGAACGGGACGGCGGCCGTTTGTACCTTCGATTCCGTCATTAAGGCAACACTCATGGTTTATTCAGATGACCGCACCGAGAGAGGGTGAGAGTGGCAGAGCGGGAGGGTGGAAGGCAGGATGAAACCGTTGCTACCGGCGGCGTATTCGCACGAGGTCGGTCCTCGAGAGTCACTTGCTCATTCAGTTGATTACGTCGACCCGCAAGTAGGGCCCTTTCCTCGTAGCTGAGAGAGAGAGAGAGAGAAAGAGAGAGAGAGAGAGAGAGAGAGAGAGAGAGAGAGAGGGAGGGGGGGGCAGAGAGATAGTAAATGAGAGAGAGGGGGGGGGGAGCGAAAGAGCCCATAATCCCGCTATCGCCGGCCGTCGCCGTGCCGTTAGGTTGTTTGCGCACGATCCTGGAATAGTTGACATTTACGAGTTCAAACGAGAACTCTCCCTATCGGCCAGATGCGTTATGGCAATAACGTATCAGTTTATGGGATTTTCGAAAATAGCATTAGTAGTCTAGCGAAATGGTCCTTTATTCATTTACTTATTGATTGATGCCACAACAATGCCTCTCGTCGTGAAAACCCTCTCCTGATAACTGCCAACTGTTTTGCATACGTCGGAAGATGCATCGTAGACTAGCGAATGAAAATTGTTAGCTTGAGTGTAAATCCATTTAGCCCTCGAGGCATTCGTCTAACGAGAGGGTGGTCTCGATCAACTCCCATTCGTCCCTTTGTTCGTTGAAAGCTTTCTTCTAAAACCTTGCAGCCCTCAAGGGTATCTTTAATTAAACCCTATCCAGAGTAGCAACAATACTGGCTGAATACAGAATAACTTTTCGACGGCGGTCGAACTTCCTGTGTGCACGGTCGAAAATTAGCTGTTCGATTTTAATTAATTCTGCTTATCACGTATATACATGCTCTGTGACTGTGTTCGCCGATACTAAATGATGTATTGTATCTCTCGAATAGTTTATACATTTTGCCGTACGCGAGTTCTACGTTACATTTCTCCGTGCTCGCATATTTTTCTTTTTTCTACGTTACGGAATC